ACACCTCGGGGGAGGCATGGAGGACACGTGCCCCTTGGATCTGTGCACAGGGAGACAGTGAGCTGCCTGCTGCATGCTTGGGGCTGGGGGCTGTGCTGGTCTCTTCCCAGCAAGGGGGGTAGGGGGCAGGGAGGGGCTGGGCTGGGCTGAGCTGAGCTGAGCTGGGCAGCAGCGGCGCTGGGAGAGGGGGCTATGGGAGGTATACAGCCAGCCCAAAATTCAACAGAGCCCCTCCTCCCACCATCCCTTCCCTCCCCCACACCACTTCCTCTCCAACAGATTTACTGACAGGACACTGCTCTCCAAGCTGCCGGACTGTATTCCTGGCAGCAGCATTTATCGGCAACATTATCGGTCACATCAGCCAAAAAAAGCCAATTGCCAATAACATCAATTTTTTTTTTTATTGGCGTCGATGTGACATGGACTGATATATCAGTGCACCTCTACAAAGAACTAAGAAAGACCACAATAGGGCAGAATGTTTTTGACACTATACATTCCTATTTGAAAAAAATGGATTTCTCTCATTAATTTCATGTAAGCGTTTGTGTATCAAGCAGTGTTAATATTGTGTTGCACCCTTAAATGGATCTCATGACCCCTAGGGTGATGCAGTACCAGTAGCTTAACTGAGGTAGGGTGTCCAGGAGAGCAGCCCCTGGCACTGACATATGTGTGTGTTGGGGGGGGACAGGTGGGAAATAAAAATAACAGCTGCTGCCGCAGCCACACCAGCAACATGGCAGCAGCCAGAAGTTGCCACTGCCTCCATGCAGTGCCAGCTGCTTTGTTATGCCTCTGCACAGTACCCTGGTTGAAAAACACTACAATTATTTATATTGTATAACTTTACCCCCACAAGGAAGAACAAATATTCTTCCTTGCTACAGAGGGTGGGATGTGAGACAATAAATTTAAAATGCACAAAAACAGATTTAAATTTAAGTCTCAGAGATGATTTCTTGCTGTCAGCACAGTAGGGCAATGGAACAAGTTGCCAATGGACGTTGTGTAATCTCGTTAACAAGCTCAAGCTTTTTGGGCTGAAGAAGGACACTTTGTGCCTGAAAGCTTACCTATCATCTCTCCCAGCTTACAGTTGAACCAATACAAGATTTTGACAAAAAAACTCTTGCTTCTTGCATAATTCCTGGACCATCTCAGCTACAACAGTTTCAAGTGCAGTGTTACCACTCTGCTTGTGCGCAGTGTCTGCCTGAACACTGTGATTTTACTGTAGATCGAAGTCTGAAAGGCAAACATGCTGCAAGGTCTAGAATACATAACGTCTCTAAACACTTTTACAGACCTACAGGAAAAAGGACCTCATGTCCACTTGGCAGCAGTCTCAATTCAGCAACTGCTTTGCAGAAACCAGAGAGCAGAAATGCAAATGAAAAATATCAGCATGGTGTGCAAGCTTCACTGCATCAGTTCATTAGACGAGAGTGGGCGGATGAGCTCAGCTGAATACCCTAATTTGGGGGTCAGACCCTTTGCCACCATGGGCCACTGCTTGCAACATGGAACAGCCCTGTTTCTCACAGTGGCAAAGAGTGCATGATAAGGGAGAGTACATATGCAGAACCTATCCACATTGATATGCAGAACCTATGCAGAACCTATCCACATTGACGCTGGAGGGCAGGGAACAACTACAAGCAGACCTGGACAGGTTGGACATGTGGGCGGAAAACAACAGAATGCAATTCAACAAGGAGAAATGCAAAGTGCTGCACCTAGGTAGGAAAAATGTTCAGCATACCTACTGCCTAGGGAATGACCTGCTTGGTGGAACGGAAGCGGAAAGGGATCTTGGAGTCCTAGTGGACTCCAAGATGAACATGAGTCGGCAGTGTGACGAAGCCATCAGAAAAGCTAATGGCACTTTATCGTGCATCAGCAGATGCATGACGAACAGATCCAAGGAGGTGATACTTCCCCTCTATCAGACGCTGGTCAGACTGCAGTTGGAGTACTGCGTGCAGTTTTGGGCGCCGCACTTCAAGAGGGATGTGGATAACCTGGAGAGGGTCCAGAGAAGGGCCACTCGTATGGTTAAGGGCTTGCAGGCCAAGCCCTATGAGGAGAGACTGGGGCACCTGGACCTCTTCAGACTCCACAAGAGAAGGTTGAGAGGCGACCTTGTGGCTGCCTATAAGTTCATCACGGGGGCACAGAAGGGAATTGGTGAGGTTTTATTCACCAAGGCGCCCCTGAGGGTTACAAGAAATAATGGCCACAAGCTAGCAGAGAGCAGATTTAGATTGGACATTAGGAGGAACTTCTTCACAGTTAGAGTGGCCAAGGTCTGGAATGGGCTCCCAAGGGAGGTGGTGCTCTCCCCTACCCTGGGGGTCTTCAAGAGGAGGTTAGATAAGCATCCAGCTGGGGTCATCTGAACCCAGAACTCTTTCCTGCCTATGCAGGGGGTCGGACTCGATGATCTATTGAGGTCCCTTCTGACCCTAGCATCTATGAATCTATGATCTGTCCCCTATGCCTCTTCCTTCACAGCTTCCAGCATTCAGGTCTAATAAGTCCTAACACTGGCCTTGGTGTTGTCAGAGATCTACCCAAAACAATTCCAAGATCTCTTTCTTAAACAGTAATGACAAATGTAGAGCCTATCATTATGTAAGTGCCTTTCAGGTTATTCTTTTCCATGTGAATCACCTTACACTTATGAACACTGAACTCCATGTGCCATTTTGCTGCCTGTTAACTCAATTTTACGAAATTCTTCTGCAATTCCTCACGATCAACTCTATTTTTTTACTACCCTGAATAACTGGTGTCATCTTCAAAACTGGCAACCTCATAATATATTTACTCTCCTTTCCAAATCATTTATGAACAGCATAAACAGCACAGGCCCGAGCATAGACCCCTGGGGAAATGGGCTGTGTGAAATTTCGCTGGGTGTTTCGTTTCAAAGCTGTTTTGATGCGTTTCGAGCTCAAAACAGTGAAATCGAAACAAAACAAAAGGCTTCGAAACGAAAGAAGGGCATTCAAAATGTTTCAAATTTCAAAGCCGGGCTTACTTGGCTTCAGTGCTGGTCCCAGGCAGCAGAGGCAGCCTCTGTTTATTCGGAGCGCGGATCCAGGGGCTCGCACCCACTGGAGCCCAGCACAGTCCGGCAGCCTTCCCGGGGGTGCAAGCCCTCGGATCTGCGCCCCAGATGAGAGGAGGCTGCCTCTTCCACCTGGAACCGGTACTGGGCACGGGCTGCGCCCAGCACTGGAGAAGATTGCTGCTGGGGTAGCAGCCGCCTGAGCCTCATCTCATCCGGGGACCCACACTCCCGGGAGGAGTCCGGCACAGCTCAGCAGCCCTCCCAGATCTGTGTGCCAGATGAGAGGAGTCCCAGGTGGCAGTAGCAATCTTCTCCAGTGCTAGGCGTGGGCTGCGCCCAGCGCTGATCCCAGGCAGCAGTGGCAGCTTGAGCCTCTTCTCATCCAGCACGCAGATCCGGGGGCCTACACCCCTGGGAGGAGTCCGGCACAGCCCTGCAACCCTCCCGGAGGTGCGGGCTCCCAGGTCTGCACGCTGGATGAGAAGAGGCTTCCACTGCTGGCAAGGGTCAGGAGTTGTGTTTTGAAGACTTTGAGGTGCAGTTTCCCAGAAACCTCTGCACCTATCTCCTTAAAACTTAATGTCTTCAGAAGGGGCTACAATCCCTGCAATTTTCATCCAAATCAGGCAAGAAATGACAAAGTTTTAGGCATTTTCATGATTCCCATTATAGCCTATGGGCAAAATGTCAAAATACATCAAAACAGCGAAACAGTTTCAACGAAACAAAGCGGGACAGTGCTTCAAAACTAAATGAAACACTGTCCCTTCAAAACGGCGAAATGGACATCGAAATGAAACAATGGTGTTTCGCACAGCCCTACTGGGGGAATCCCAGTGCTGGCCTCTCTCCATTGTAACAACCATTTATACCTACTCTTTGTTTATTGTCCTTTAGCCAGTTACTGATCCACAATTGTGCTGATTGGAATAAAAAAACTGGCATGATTTCTTTTACAGCCTTTGGTGTGGAACATCCTCAAAAACTTTCTGAAAACTCAAATACGTTATTTCAGCAGTCAGCTACCTTTTTGCCTGCAAGCCATTTTTGGGAACCAAGGACAGATCAATATTAAGTTTCTAATTTTTTAGGGACCCCGCAGGCCGGATAGAATGGCCTTGCGGGCTGAATGCAGCCCGCGGGCCGTATTTTGCCCACCCCCGATCTAGGTGGTTCAGGCACCAGGTAGTCTGCATTGTATTGTGTGGCTTAACTTTTTAATGCACTGGTGCACTTCACAATCCTATAGAGTTTTGTATAATCCTACTGACCACTGTCTCATGTCAGGATGTCCCAAGGGACAAACAAGAATCACTCTCCCATTTTTCATATTAAAATAACTGATAGATTATATAAAGTCCCTTTTGAAAAAGTCTGGAGAACTACTGGGATCCAAGTGCCATTCCTTCTACTTGCACAGAATCATAGAAAAGTACAGAACCGTAAGGCATAGCACTCCAACCTGCCACAGGTGAAGCAAGAGGACAATGGCAGCAAGTGTCCTGCTGCTTCAAGGGTTGTTAAAACATGCACAAGAAATCCAAGGAAAAGGACAAGCCTCCCTGCTACAAAGGAAGGTAAAAACTCCCAGAGTCTGTACCAATCTGAATATGGGGTAAAATTCCTTCCTGATTCCAAATGTGGCAATTGATCTGACCCTGAACAGAGGAGCAAGACCCTCTAGCCAGGGAACTCCAGATTGTAAATCCCAGCAGGAACACACCAGTCAAAATCCCCAGCCTTGGCTGCAGCCAAAACCCAATGCTCCCAAGGAAGGTGAAAATAAAACCCTAACACATTAGCAACAGAAGGGGAAAAAAATTCATTCCTGGCCCCATGTGGCAAACAGCAAAGCCCAGAAGAACAGGAAATCCCCACAGCAAATCACTGACATAGCTACTCCTAAATCAAACCTTACCTATGCTTATCCAGCTTCTTCCTGAACACACTCCAGTGATGAAGACTGCAACTTCCCTAGGCAATCTATTCCACTGCCTCACTGCTGTAACAGCAAAGAATGTTTTACTGACATTGAGTCTAAACCTACTTTGCTGGAACTTCAAGCCATTGGTCCACATCCTGCTCTCTGCAGCAAGACAGAAAAGGTGACATTATCAGTCAAAAATACTCTGTCAAATCCATGTGTTTGGCAATCAGATCTGCTCTAATCACTGGACCACATTCAAATTCTAGAACAAAGGAGGTTGATTTTCAGCAATCTCCAGATATCTACTAAACAGATATGTAGATCACTGTCGAAGAAACTGTAAGGTATACAGAGAATGAGGCAACAGGTACAAGAAGGAAAGCATAGCTTTGCAGTTTAGAAAACTGGATTGGGATGCACTGAGCTCTATCCCTGCCCATGTAACTGACTTTCTTCCTAAGTTCAAAGGTAGCCATTAACTGTGTTCCCAGTAAAGCAGAGGTGGGCAAAATACGGCCTCCTAGACCATCCTATCCGGCCTGTGAGGCCCCTAAAAAATTTAGAAAATTAATATTTATCCGCTCCTGGCTGCCTGTCAAAGATGACAAGAGCCAGGGGTAGTAGGACCCAGGGGAAGCCAGCAGGAGGACCCAACAGCCCAGCAACAAGGCCTGCCCAGCCCAACCCATCCCCACCCCTCTCCGACGCCCATCCCTCCCAATCGGAAACCTCTGCCTAGCAGAGGCTTCTGGCCTAAGACCCTGGGGCTGTTCCCACCTCCCTTCACTGGAGAGGGAGATTCAGATAAGAATGGGGAGGGGAGCCAGGGGAGGACCACGGGCGATTGCCCCAGTCCTCAGGGCCGGGCCAGCTTCTGCCTAGTCCTTGCAGCCGGGAACCACATGGTGCTGGAGCAGCCAGCAGCGGGCAGGAAAGCAGGGAAATAGCAGATACAAGCGGGGGGCGTGGTAGGGAGCA